AGTCTGGTTAGCGGCTTGCTAAAAAATGAGTCAATTGGGACTGGAGTACTCACTCATTTCCTTCGTCATCTTGTAGGGCCCATCTTTTTTAAGAGGGGGGCCCCAAAACGGGCGTTTTTCCGATTTTGTTTGGGAAGGAAAGAAATACTTTGGTTTCTTTCATTTCATTTATAGCTTTTAGTTCTTCCCCCCATTCCTGACTCCAAAGGGTTCTTTTAGCTTAATTTCGATGCTTGTATTTCTCTGAAACCCTGCTCCCTGTGCATTTCAAATATTAACCCCTTTAGCCGCTCGTTATTCTTTTTCCGTCGCCTGTAAAGGGACGCCGTCCTCTTTCTATTTTTCATCTACCCTCCTTTTTCTTAGAGGGAAAAAGCCCCTTTGCATACTCATGCCACCAGTTTTCTGTTCTAGGCATAAGTTTGGGTCTGTGTTCTTAGTATACTTCCCAGCTTATATCGGTTAGGACATGGGTTTTTTTTGGTCCACTTTATGTTTTTGTTATTGAAGTTGAATTTGGGAAGCTCCCTCGTGACATCTCATTTTGTCGGTCTGGGGCTCCTCGCATACATTCTGAACTCAATTATTTTTACTAGTATATTTTTTTTTGATTGGTGACATTTCTTATCAATCATCATTGTTAGTGAAAAGAGGTCTAGTGATTCTCCAGTCTAGTAGGCCTATTATTTGCTGGGGTTTTAAATTTAATTTTGTGCAGAGATTTAAAAGCTCGTGTGAGTGTGAGTTTCATCAGAGCTGCCTCCTGGTGTTATTACTGCAACATATTATTTGCTATATTCCTCCATTTTAGGTGCCTTAAGTTGAAATCCCCCAGGAGCAAGATGTTGGGTGCAGGAGCTGGAAGATTTTCCAGACAGTGGTCAATTTTTTAACAGCTGTTCCTGGAATTGCTGGATGTTGCATCCGGAGGCTTGTAGACTACCACAATGACTAGGTTTTGGTTCTCGACCTTTACTGCTAAAACTTCCACTACGTCATTTGAGGCATTAAGCAGTTCTGTGCAAACAAGTGACTCTGCAATGTACAGGCCAACCCCCCCCTTTTGCCTGTTCACTCTGTCACATCTGTATAGGTTGTAACCTGGGATCCATATTTCATTGTCCAAGTGATCCTTTATGTGGGTCTCAGTGAAAGCCGCGAACATTGCCTTTGCCTCTGCAAGCAGTCCACGATGAAAGGTATTTTGTTGTTTGTTTGCTGGCTTTAGACCCTGTATATTTGCAAAAAGAATGTTATCGACTGGTGGTATTGTTGGTACTGGGGGGGATTTTTTTTCCGCATTAGTATCTGTATCTGTTGTTTGGAGTGGAGGCCATCGACTGTGGTTCCACTCCAGGAATGACTGGATTTGATGTACGATTTCTGCCATTTCCTGCCAGTTTTTTTTTCTTCCTGGCACTAAAAAACCTCTCCCTCTTGAGTGGCTGTGGCTACCCAGGTTTTTCCATGGCCTGGATGTTTTGTATCTTTTTGTCCCCTTTAGATGGTATGCCTGGCAATTTAAGTTATAGCACAGTCTTTCCTGTACTGAAGAGGTACACATTTCGGGGTGAAAAACTTACAGGAAGGGAGTTTGCATTTCCTGTTGTCATATGGGCATGGCATTTTCTAGGTGGTCATAGTTGCACGTCCCATCTTTTTTTTCCAGATTTCCCATGCCAGCAGATACCAATTTGCATAGTATGTGCACAGGCTTGGTTTCCGCTTGCCTTGGGTTTCTGTGACTGTAATTCCCTGTTGGTGCATGTTTCCCTGTCTTACTTCTATCCTCCCTAGCACCAACAATGGAGCTCCCACCAGTTGTTTTTGGTAATTTATCCTCACTATTGCTATTGGAGTCCTCTTGTTTGCTATTTCCTGCGGTATTTCTAGTTTGCAATTTTGGTTTTATCTTATCTTTGACTACACTTGTTTCCCTACTATGGCTCCTGTCCCCTATGAGGTCATTTATATGTATTCCTTCCTGCGTATAATTCCCGACTACCTGGACAAAATCTCCACTTCACCATTACTGTCTCCCAGGACAGTATCTCCAGCTTCACCATTTCTGTCTCCCAGGACAGCACCTCCAGCTTCACCATTACTGTCTCCCAGGACAGCACCTCCAGCTTTACTATTACTGTCTCCCAGGACATCACCTCCAGCCTTACAGTTTGTGACTACATGGCCAGTATCAAGGGCAGTACCATTCAGCCCAGACTTTTTATGTTCCCATCTGTTGTAGAAAGCTTCCAGGTTTTCTATGAAAGCAGCTTTGATGTTGTCCTCTTTTAATACCCTTGTGATTTTAGTCCACAGATTTTCCTCATTTGGGCATACCCAGAAACACTTCTCTGTTTAATACTGCTTGTAGCTAGTTCTGGGATATCTGCACAAGGAGCGTGACACCAATTTCCACAAAAATGACAATTTATCCATGTGGAAGCCCGTTTGTTTGACTGACCACAGACTACACACAGCTTCATAATGATTTGAATGGTTGATTTACTGCAATTCTACTAGCAACCTCTTGAATATTATATTAATAACCTTAAATGAAGCTCTAGCTATTTGTATTTCTGTTTCTAACTCTTTTGTATATTGGGACAGCTTACCGTCACGTTCCTGATTTTTAAACGTTTGTGTTTATAAGGGCGCCTACAACCCCATCCGTTTACAGTCTGCTTTATTGTCCAACGAAACTGTTTGAAACCAGTCCCGGGTTCGGACCAGTCAAGGGTTCGGACCAGTCAAGGGTCCGGACCAGTCGATCTGCTCTGATCAGTGGGTCACTTATTTAAAACATACTGGTCGGTGATTTGAGCTAACACATGAAGGATCTACTGGAAATTATCTACCCGAGTAATATGTGATTTGACTGATACAAAAGTATAACTTGCGTGTTGAAGAGCCGGTGATATCTGGCAGCTCCTACAATGACGAACGGTCACCTCCTTGTTTATCAATCGCTGTATCTGGCTTTTCTATTTTTTTTTTTTTTTTTTTTCCGTCTCCACCGCAATAAATGCTATATTATCACTATAGTTGACTGGTGCAAATTTTGGAGGAAGGACGCTTTTTCTGTAGTAATAATTGCTTCTCGTTGTGTATATTGCGACCGCTGGTAAACTACAGGTTATATGAAATTCACAGTAACGTCTCGTATTTCAAGAAAAGAAACTAATGAAAGTCACTCCACTCCACTAAGTACCATTATAATACTGGTTAGTTGCTACTACAACACTGTATTCTGCTATTCACTGGTATCACTAGATTATATGCGAGTACACTAGCAAGCCAGGAAGATTATTAAAAACAGCTGACCTGTGGTAAGTTTCTGGCGACTTCTGGCACCTTCCTCTATAGGCTTATCACTTCATTTACAAATTCACCTGTTTTCAAATGACACTATTAGCCTTTATCATCAATATACTAGGGAGCCACTGTAGTATACACTATACACTATGTATAGTCAATGATATCAGGGAGACTTTCTTTCCTCTGACATGAAAAGTTCAATTATTATTATTTTTTTCCACACGGGACACAGGCCTATGATTCCCCTCTGGCAGTAAACTCTGCTACGCAGTGCACACTAATTCTCCTTTTTTGACTCAGTATATAATGTTTTCCGCCCAAGATTGGTTCCAGGCGCTAGAGGGATGTATCGTATAGGATTGATGACACAAATTAAAGTTCTAGCACGTAAGAGCGACCGTGAAAACACGAGAAAACCGGGAGCACAACGAGGCACGCTGACACGCTGACAGCACGCCAGGGGTGCCAGGGGTAAATAAAAATGGGGAGCCTTTAATTGAGCCAGGAGGTCATCATAGTGTTTGCTTAAGGACCTGATGTTGTAGTTAAGTACTGATAGACTTTTAGCATTGTTTAGGATAGTGCTGGCTTGTGATGCTGTGTAATAAAGGCAGTTACTTTCCAATAGGTTTTGATTGAGCGTCAGATTATGGAGGTTTAGATCAGGGTCAACGTGATCAATCATCTTCTAGGTTTAAATTATGGTTATTTATATCCTGAGTTGTGTGTTGAGTTCTAGTACTGATATCTGTAGTGATGGGAAGTTTGGACAAGTATATACCTAAAGCATTTTGGTCATATAGAGTATAGTCACTAATACACATAATGAAGTTGATGTTGTCTATGTGTTGTGCTGGAATGAGCTAAAGTACAACTAGGTATAAACTAATAATATAAAAATACAAATTAAAAATATCACAAGACTCTCATTTGTAATTGCACTAAGGTCTAATATAATGACTTTGGTATAGTCTATGTATTGAGTTAGAATGAGCTATAGTACAACTAGGTTTAATCTAATAATATAAAAATACAAATTAAAAATAGCACCAGACTCTCACTAGTAATTGCACAATGGTTTAATATAATGACTTTGGTATTGACTATGTATTGAGCTAGAATGAGCTATAGTACAACAAAGTTTAATCTAATAATATAAAGACAAGGGGATTTTTTTTTTTTTTTTTTTTCAACAAGTCGGTCGTCTCCCACCGAGGCAGGATGACCCAAAAAAAAGAAAGAAAATCCCCAAAAAGAAAATACTTTCATCATCATTCAACACTTTCACCACACTCACACATTATCACTGCTTTTGCAGAGGTGCTCAGAATATAACAGTTTAGAAGCATATACGTATAGAGATACACAACATATCCCTCCAAACTGCCAAGGGGAAATATCTTCATTATTTATGATGGAAGAGGTGCTGAGTTTTGAGTTATTCTCTCCTGTGGAAAATGTGGCGCCTCTCCCATAAGAGAGATCCTCACCTCTGGGCACAAACTACACAAATTCCTTGCCAACATGCTAAGGTGACCAGTATTGAGGAGGAAGGGGGGGTGTTTTGCTGAAACTTTTAGCTAAAAAAAATAAATTGCAATCTATCTGAGCATACCAAAACACTGAGACTGATATCAATTTCTTATTAGTGAAATTCTTGGATATGGCAAATAAAAACTAACCTCAGCAATGTTTCTACACCACTGTATTAGCATGTGACCCAAGATTTGATATTCTGTGGCTTTATTCTGTAGATTCTGGTATAGCTGCAGTAAGGAGCCAATTACTTCATCACGCTGACCCCCATCGTCACCTGGTAAAATAAAGAATATGTATTGATATGTACAAAAGTGGGATATTAGTGCATATCACTTTTATGTTAAACATACAACACCATAATAAATATGCTTTACAATTTGTTTTAAATTACAACTATTTATCAAGAAATAATGATAAATGAAATTAAAACTTTTAATTGAATTATTTCTGTTGATACTGAACAACTGTAAGCTCATGGTATAAGATACCTTTGTACGACATGACTTCTGCTCTCGTCATCATGTTCTGAATATCTTCTTGAGTTTTCTTTACAGCAGACACATAAATGTTTAGTCTCTGTTCCAGTGTATTAGCCATGCCTTCAGGGTCTGCAGTGTTTCCTCTTAAGAGTGGGCAGAAATCTGTTTCCATTTGAGACATTTCAGACTGCATCTAAAAAAAAAATCAGAAATACTTCATTAGCAAAAGTAAGACTATGATGTGCGAGATACTCAAAGATATTGACTAGGTAAACAATGACAGAACATTAGATATGAGAGTGACCAAACAAAGGGACACAGATGGAAGTTGTACACACAGATGAGTGGCTGGGATATTAGGAAATATTTTTCGATGCAAGAATACTGAACAACATGAATGAGCTAGGTGAAACTGATGAGGTAAACTCTTGAAATGTGTGGAAAATTTTGCATTTATGTCAAATCTGATCAAATTTTATTTCCATTAATTCAGCTCAGGAATTACATTTTTGGAAAGACTAAATCCAGTACTGATGAACTACTAAATATCAGTACAAGTATTCCGATACAAAATATAAATCGTAATTTCAGTTTTGTGTGACAATTCAGCATGAATAAATTCTATATTTCTGTAGGTGTCTGGTCAAAATTGCTAACAACATTATGAAGTCAATGTCTTTGGGACCGAAATTAATTTCAGCGCATTAAAAACTGGACTGTACTCGCACTAAGTGACCACTTTAGTTAAACAGAGAAGTTTATCTGCAAAATCAAACTACTGGATTAAGTTGGTCCAAAGTTAAGAGACAAGATAAAGAGTTAAAGCTTACCCTCCCCCTCCCTCACTGCAAACTCAAATATGTAATTGCACACACATATATACAGTACATTCTGATATGCAACATTGCTCAGCAATATAATGGAGTGTCATAATTCCTTTAATTTTTAGTCATTTTTTCTCTTACCTTACTGACATTTTCTCTGTAAGTCTTCCATAGAACCATCATTTCTTTGGTTGCAGTAATCTTCATGTGGAAGTGAGAATGCAAGTCAGTGATAACAAGACGCCGTTTGCCTAGATGCTCCAGTATAGATTCCACACACAACACTGCACGATTTGAGTCCAAGTAAGGATCCTCTGCCTAATGGATAAATAAAACATTAAGTGATATACAGTAACTACTTTTAATTTCGTCTAAAGAAAGGATATTATTTGTAAGTAAAAGAGATTGTGAACCAACAGCAAAATATGGGACAGTTACCAGAGATCTGGAAGACAGCAAATGTAGTCATTATATTTAAAAAAGGAGATAGACAGGAGGCATTAAAGTACAGACCAGTTTCTATTACATGCATACCTTGTAAGGTAATGGAGAAAATTAGCAGAGTGGTAGAACACTTGGAATGAAGTGGTTTCATAAACAATAACCATCATGGGCTTAGGAATGGCAAACACTGTTTTATTAACTCGTTGAAGTTCTATGATAAAGTAACAGATATGAGAGAAGAGGAAGAGAGAGTTGTGTGGATTTCATTTTTTTGTTTTTACACTGCAAAAAGGAATTGGATATTGTACCCCACAAGGGGCTGGGCCAAAAACTTGAGATTCAGGCAGGAATAACTCCAGTGAATGAAAGAGTATCTTAATGAAAGCGAGCAAAGAGTGACTGTCAGGAGACATCAGAATGGGGAAGAATAACTAGTGGTGTTATGCAAGGATCAGTATTAGAACCAGTACCGTTTCTGGTTTATTTGAATGACAATCCAGATACATCTCTGTTGGCTGGTGGTATGCTACTAATGAGAATAAAAACAGATAAATGTAAGGAGAGGCTCTATAGGGATCTGGACAAATTGCAAGAGTAGTCAGGTAAGTTATTACTTGAATTCAATCCTAGTAAATGCAAGGTCATGAAGTGGGGAAAGAGCAAGAAGACCGGAAAAAGGGTAAAGATTAGAGAGATGGAAGTGCCTGACTTCACTCAAACAAAAAGATCTAAGGGTGAGCATAGTGCCCAGTATATTGCCAGAGGCTAACATCAGCTAGATAACCTCTGCAGCTAATACTCATCTGGCAAATTTAAGAGTAGCTTTCAGGACTCTTAGTCATTCTGTGCCCTTTATACAACATATGTTTGGCCCATCTTATAGTATGCAGCACCAGTATGAAGCCTGTACCTGAAAAAGCATGTTACAAAACTGGAGAAAATGCAGAAATATACAAGGATTGTCTCTGAGCAAAGGGGCATAAGCTACGAGAAGAAGCTGACAGAATTGGACCTAATGACATTGGAGGACATAAGAACTGGAAAAATCATGATAACACACAAAATACTTGGGAAAGTTGTTAAGGTAGACAAGAACAAGCTGTTTGACAGGCAAGAAATAGGAACACAAGTATTTCTTAAATCTCATAGTAGTCAGGAAGTGGAATGATCTTAGTGAGGAAACAGTAGAGGCAGACTCCATATGTAATTTTAAGAGCAGGTACAAAAGGATCCATGAGACTAAGAGGGAGTGAATGTGAAGAGTAGCAAGTTAAGAGGTGGGGTCAGGATCTGAGAATCATCCCCTACAGCCACAAATACGTGAGTACATAAAATATCATAAAATAATAATGTTTTGCTTGAAGGGAAGCTTTATCAAGTTATACAGAAAACAAGTAAACTACTGAAGACAGTCCATGATCTCAAGACAACTCCTGGGTATAAATATACATGTATAACATACAACACCTACAAGGGACAAGACCACATACCTTATGACCTGGGAAAGAGACAAACTCATACTACGTGAGAATCAAAGGACGGAGAAAATGGTTGGAAGGTGCCTTCAAGATTTATAATACTATACAGCAAAATCCAGATGAATTCATGCTCACAAAAATCTCTTTAAACTGTCCTACATCACTTACCAACAAATGACATCACCCATGAAGCAGCAGAAGTCACATTACTTAGATCTTCACCTCACTCTTCACCTGTCTATACAATCTGCAAACTTATGCAGTAATGCAAGTTCTCACCCCATTGTTCACCTGCCAGACAGCTAGCACGTGACATCTATGTTTCAACACAAGTCACAATAAACAGGTCCTCACCTCCCTCTTCATCCTATCAGACAACTAATATAAGGAGTAGTTTACATGTTTTCTGCAAAACTTGATAAAGTTTAAACTAAAGTGATACATCATTACAATAAAAGCTTCCATTGCTTTGTCTTCATATTACTTGGAAATCAAATGAAATGCCAGACTGCTACAAGCTCTAAAATTAAACAAAAATTGTGTGAATGTGACAATGAGTGCTATTTGACTTGCACACAACACAATTAAGCTTTACTGGATAAAGGGTTCCAGCATCACTTACACTTCTAACATCTTGACAGAATGCTTTTCCTGTGTTACAAAGGTCAAGATACAGCTTCTGAACTTGTTCCCACATAGCTTCTACCTCAGCACCCCGATCTTCTCCCTGAGCTTCTTTAAGGAGTAATTCAAGGGCTTCATGTGCATTATTCACAGCCTCAGCATCTTCGTGGAACTTAACATACTTTTCACTAATTATAATACGAACATCTGTGTGGAATATTGAAACATTAAGAGTACTGATGATTGCATTAAAACATTTATTCAAAAACTTTTATAATCTGCACTACATGCAACTTTATTTAGTTTTAGGCAAACAATCTTTGCATAATAACTTACTCTAATAAAGGAATATATGATAACTAGAGAGACTAACAGCTGCATGAAAGTGAGTTATAAGAATGTGAGAGAGGTATAGGAATGAGTTTAAAATATCACTGAGAATGTTAAGTTGTAGGGATGTGAGGGGGTACTGGTGCAAGTTATAAGTGTTACAGGGATGTGGAGAGGTATGGGAGTGAATTATTAGGGTTTGGATTCATGTGGTGAGCCATTAATGGATCTCATACAAAAAAGTGGATGGACGAGATGAGTATTTTCTGTAGAGTGGCTTAGATAAACTTGAGGTGGGTACCTAAGGATGAAATTTCCTTTACAGTACCTCTTGTTTTTATTTTTTTGACACACTGATTGTCTCCCACTGAGGTAGGGTGACCCCAAAAAGAAATACTTTCACCATCATTTACTCTATCACTCTCTTGCCAGAGATGCACAGACACTGCAGTTCAGATGTTTGTCCAATATTTCCACCTCTCCTTCAGAGTGCAGGCACTGTACTTCCCATCTGCAGGACTCAAATCTGGATAACCAGTTTCCCTGAATTACTTCACAAAGTGTTACCTAGCTCACACTCCAACAGCTCGTCAAGTCCCAAAAATCAGTGGCCTTCAATCACTCTTATCTAACATGCTCACACACAGCTGCTGTATGTCCAAGCCCCTCACACACAAAACCTCCTTTACCCGTAATTCATGTAGTGAACCCATTTATTTCATATTTAAAAAGAGTGAGTTGAAAGCCAATACAGTGGACCCTTGGTTTTCGTGATTAATCCATTCCCGAGTTCCAGAGAGTCTGCCAAAAACCAAAATTCACAAAAACCAAAACCATTTTTCCCATAAGAAATAATGTAAATCCAAATAATCCGTTCCAGACACCCAAAAGTATTAACAAAAAATAATTTCATCACACTTCCCTTTACTGAAGATTTGTTTGTTGGCGACACTGTTTTTCTTGAACCCTCTGGGATTTTCAGAGTGACACACCAGTAAAGGCTTCACTTTGTAATCCCAACAAGCATTATCACAGAACAAGAGAGTTAGCCTGTCTTTTATAGGCTTGTGTCCTGGCAGTGCCTTTTCCTCCTGCATGATGTAGGTCCTCTTTGGCATTTTCTTCCAAAAGAGGCCTGCTTCATCACAACTGAACACTTGTTGGGGGAGGAATTCTTCTGCCTCTGCGCTCTTTTTGAATTCATGCACAAATTTTTCAGCCGCATGTTTATCTGAACTTGCTCCCTCACCATGCCTTACAACACTGTGTATGCCACTTCACTCCTTGAAATTTTTGAACCAGCCTTTGCTGGCCTTAAATTCACTAACAGCAGCACTTATTCCAGGCATTTTCTTTATGAGATCGGCATGCAGTTGCCTTGCCTTTTCGCAAATTATCAACTGCACAACACTATCTCCCGCTAATTGCTTTTGGTGGGCCCACAACAACAATAATTTCTCCACATGTTCGACTGTTTGTGACCTCTGTTTCGTTATCACATCAGCTTCTTTGATTTCCTTTTTCTTTCCCATGATGGAAGTGATCATTGAATGGGGCTTCCCGTACATCCTGGCAAGATCGGCCACACGTATGCCACTTTCATATTTCTCTATTTCTTTCTTTCTTTCTATCATGTGTCTCACCTTCTTTACCAAAGGCCTGGCATTAGGAGCTTTCTTTATGGCCATGGTGGGTTACTTAGCAGTTGCAAGCACAAAAAACACTGGATTATTGCGAAATGTTTCGTATGAATGCAGGGTGTTGCTCACTTGCCGAGAAACAATGCCAGACTGGCGCTGAATGAGTCTGTAGCAGGCTTTGTGCGCATGGGGCCATTGGGACATGTTCCGTACCACTGCCAAAATCCAAAGGAAATTACGAAAACCAAGGCTATATTTTGACAAAAAAAGTTGCCGATAACCAAAATTCATGATAACCAAGACTCACGAAAACCAAGGGTCCACTGTACCTGTGTTTTACTAAATATATTATCTCTTTCTAAACCTTAATTTCAATTCCCTTAAAAATATGAAAAAAATATGGTGGGTGAGTTTGACCTAAATGAACATGACAAGGTCAATGGAAGACTGAAAAGAAAAAGGTGAAGACGGGAAAATATGTCTAAGACTAATTACTATTAAGTGTGTGTCTCTAGAGATATGAGATATGGTGCATCATCCCAAATGTCTGGAAACAGACATTTGGAAGAGTGGGGTCATCTGACTTATGATGTCCATGCACACCTGGCAGGACAGATACTGAGTGACAGTAAACAAGTTTCCTTCTCTGCCTTGCTTTCTATGAAGTACATAGTTTATATATGCCAATTACCCTAATTGTATAATACACTGTACTCAATTTTATAGAAATAAAATTTGTTCAGTTGAGTTCTAGTACCTTGATGGGAAACAGCTGATGTGAATAAAAGACAAAGGGGATGTTACTGAGGCCAGAAACATCCTGCTTGGTTGAGCATTAACTACAATATATCATGATACTTTAATTCAAATTTAACTTACTTTTATGAAACAGGTTTAAAATTTATGTTGGAACTGACCTAAGAGTTTCTTTAGCATTGCCCAATGCTCTTGAAGTGCCTGCATTTTTTCTTGATAGCCTGTTCCTTCTTCTGCTGACAAGTCGGGTAAGAGTTTGTCAAGGAAAGTTGAAAGCGCATCGATTTCGTTTTTCTTCTCCTGTAAAAGTAGTAATTGCTGAAATAATGGTTTAGTTGAAGTATAATAAATGAATTCAAAACTATCCAATGTTATTCTCATTACATTACAATAATCAAATCGCATATACAGTGGACCCCCACATAGCGATTTTAATCCGTGCAAGAGGGCTCATTGTTATGCGAAATGATCGGTATGCGAATGAATTTTCCCCATAAGAAATAATGGAAATCAAATTAATCTGTGCAAGACACCCAAAAGTATGAAAAAAAAATTTTTACCACATGAAATATACATTTTCCTACACACAAAGAGAAGGATACATGCACAATAGTAGAGTAGTACATGCACAATATATATTGTGCATGTACTACTCTACTAAATGAAGAATAAATGACACTTACCTTTATTGAAGATGCAGCAATGACTGATGAGACACTGTGTCCTGGGAGTGCCTTTTCCTCCTGAGTACTGTAGGTCCTGTTTGGCATTTTCTTCCAGAACAGGCCTTATCACACTGTGTATGCCACTACGATTCTTAAATCTCTCAAACCAACCTTTGCCTAGTTCCAGGCATTTTTCCCTGTTCACCTGGGTCTTAGTCGACTGGTGTGGGTTGCATCCTGGGAGACAAGATTAAGGACCCCAATGGAAATAAGTTAGACAGTCTTCGATGACACTGACTTTTTTGGGTTATCCTGGGTGGCAAATCCTCTGGGGTTAATTGTTTCTTGGTATTCTCAATAAGCCACACCAACAACAGTGGTACAGCAGCAGCAGCAGCAGCTGACAGTGCAGCAGCAGCAGCAGCTGACGGTGGTACAGCAGCAGCTGCAGCTGTACCACCAATAGTAGCGATGGTTGATTGGGGTTTATTATACAACCTGGCCAGTTCAGAGACACGCACTCCACTTTCATACTTATCAATGATCTTTTTCTTCATCTCTATAGTAATTCTCACCCTTATTGCTGTAGGGTTGGCACTAGAAGCTTTCTTGGGGCCCATGGTCACTTATTTTGCAGATAAAATCACCAAAAACACTGTAATAATACGAAATGTTCCGATTGTATGCTTGGATGTTACCGCGGAGGCTGGCTGGTAAACAATGCCACCGGAGGCACATGTGAGGCTGGCTAAGGGCGCACATTGGACGCATCTCGGACGAACAGCGGTGAGCGGGTTTTTGAGCGGTATGCGAGGCAAAATTTTTGCGATAAAAGCGAGCGGTATGCGGATTAAACGTTATGTGATGCCAACGGTATGCGGGGGTCCACTGTATACTCCACACAAAATTCAAAGATGACCATCTACCATAACATCATGACTGAGTGTTTGATGGAGGTGAAGGAAGTCTTTGGCAAGACTGAGGGAGCCACCTGGATCCTGATGTCCTTGCAGGAAAGCATCACCAATGCGAACCAGCCATGATTCAATCTGTATGGTAAACAATGCAGAAGCTAGTCATGTCAGAGGCAAAAGCACATAAGTCTCTCATTAAAATTTTATTAAGAAATTGCAATAAAGTAGATTCATTAACAAATTTAATTGCCTACTGCTATACTAAAAATATTTTTTCCAAGTATCTTATCTCCATGACAAGAATGCTGTCTCAATCATTAAACAACGATGGAGTGAGTGATGAAAGTTTTCTTTTCGGGTCAATGCACAAGGGGTATCCCATTGATACCTTAATGACATGTTTATTTCTATTACACAAGTTCTACTGCCAATATGTAAGTCTAACTCTGCCACAAAGGACTTTCCTAAGAGTTATGTAAGTCCCAATAAAGAGTGAATTAAAATTAAGAGACATGCAGAAATAAAGAAAAATGGACTGGGAATTTAACAGAAAACAAATAAAAAAATACATATCATAAATGAGGATGTTTAAGAAACATTACCATAAAAAATATACTGTATCTCTTTAGAAACCTTATGAATATACAGTTAAACCTGATTAATGGGTAGATGCAAGGTAATCTTATAAGATCTGTGGATGATCTGAACCTTTGCAAAGCTGAGTGAATTAGTAAACTCAAAGAAATCTTATTTGCATAACCATCCCAAAATTTTGAGCATAAATAAAAAAAAAACTCAATAAATGAATGAATTTAAAGTAAATGAAAGAGTACTATAATGAACATATCCTTTTATCTCTCACTACCCCAGCAAAAAAAAAAAAAAATAAAAAAACCAACAAACTCAAAGAACTACAAGAAATGCCTTAGCATAAAACTTTACATCTAAAAAAAAAAAAAAAATTGGGAGCAAGCAATCAAAACAGGAGAATGAAGAGACCAAAGGTCTCTTATTAAGAAATCATGACTTTGTACAGTACATAGAACTACCGAATGTAGCAACAAACCAATACACAACAGGGTACACTGTATCAATGCAATACTGCACAACCATGATTCCAAGCTATGCTGCTGATTCTATTTTATAAACAAGTGAAACTTACAGTATTATACTGTTCAAGGAAGGCATTAGAGAGTTCTGTGCGTTGGAGAACTTGTTCAGTCGAAGACACACAGATGGAAGACAAGTTACTACGGCGGCGTTCCAGTTCTTCCACCACTAATGATATACCCTGAACAACAAGGAAAGGGTATATGAATAAAGGCAATCATGTTAAGAACATTCACTGACACACAGTGGACCCCCGCTTTACGATCAGCTCCCAATGCGACCAATTATGTAAGTGTATTTATGTAAGTGCGTTTGTACATGTATGTTTGGGGGTCTGAAATGGACTAATCTAATTCACAATATTCCTTATGGGAACAAATTCGTTCAGTAATGGCACTTGAACATACTTCTGAAATGAAATAATATCGTAAGCCGGGGGTCCATTGTACAGTGGACCCCGCTTAACGATCACCTCCAAATGCAACCAATTATGTAAGTATATTTATGTAAGTGCGTTTGTACGTGTATGTTTGGGGGTCTGAAATGGACTAATCTACTTCACAATATTCCTTATGGGAAAAAATTCGGTCAGTACTGGCACCTGAACATAGTACTGGAATTAAAAAAGTTCGTTAACCGGGGGTCCACTGTACTTGATATTTGCCACAAACTGTCAATGAATATGTGGTGATCTTTATATAGTACAGAACAATAAAAGAAAATATACAAGGGCTGTACAACACCTGTATACCATACATTGTTTCACAGAATGGTGAAAAGTAGAATTGAATCATCAAGCAAAATGTTCTATTTTGTTTTTATATTGAATAAGAAACTTAACAAAAAAAATAACATCTTTAATTCACTGCTAGAAGGGCTATTTTGAAATGCACTGTAAACTAGTGGCTTTCATTTGTGCCTACCAATGTTTTATTATATGTAAACTACATTATTTGTACCACATAAAGAAATAAAAATTGTACTGTATAATTTTTGTGAAAATTTTCAAAATATTGTACTTAATTTAAAGGAACTAGTACATACCAAAATATATAGCATTTTTAATTATCTTAAATATAGCTTTATATAAAGTGTGGCATGCAGTTCTTTTTAATATACCATATTTAAATATCTTTAATATACCATATTTAAATATCTTTGTAATTTTGGGAGGTAAACTCCCAAAATTTGAACGAGGCCTTAAGAAAAACAATTTTAAGCAAACAATTCAAAGTATGAAAAGGAAGTAAAAAGCCCTTTTTTTCATATGTATATAAATATCAAAAGCAAATAAAATGATTATCTTACCATATTATGAGGCTGATTTCTGCCACCAGTGACTTCAAGGATGGCATACCCTTCTGTCAGAGCAGGTTGGACAGCCTCCTCTACAACCCCCAACACTAGAGAGAGGCGCTGTGGTCCTTCTCGGCCAAGACCTGCAACTTGTACCTCAGCCTGGTCGAGCTTTGTTAATGCCTGCGTAAGGTAAGGAGAGTGAGTTTTAACTGAACGTAGCTGGCATTTACTTAACACATCATATAAAAACAATTGGTTATATTATTCTGTCTTATGGGATGAAAGTGTAAAGTAACAGAGTCTGTAGCTTGATCGCTAGAGCACTCATCTCACACATTGAGGTCCGGAGGTCGAATCCCCGGTACGGCTGGATAACATTAGGATGTGTTTCCATGGGATGCCTGCTATCCATGTTCACTCATCAGTATAAAATGGGTAACTGAGTGTTAGATGACTGGTGTGGGTAGCATCCTTGGACCAAGTTGGTCTAACTTGCCCAAGGTGCTCTGCATAACAAGCAGCTTTCTACATAGTAGTATGTCATTGATGTCAGCTAGGCCTGTACATCTTGTACATGTACATAGACCTACCATCCAACTTACGACCGAGCTTGGTTCGGACCAACTGGTCGTAAATCAAAATGGACATAAGTCGAACCTTACTACTGAATATGAACATCACATTTTTGTAATGATTTTATTTTATTGTTTTATTTTGCTATTTCATTTTTTTTACTTTACTTTTTATGCTGTTAGTGCTGTACGTATTTTATACTGTAAGGATTAGGAGAAATACTGTGTACAGCACAAACAGTTGTTTATTTCCCAGAATTTTGGCGTACAAAACATGGTCGTAATTTGAGTGGTCATATGTCGAGCAGGTCGAAAGTCATATGGTAGGTGTACTTGAAATTAAAAATACATTGGAGTATAAAACAAATTCCAACCACACAACAGAACGAAAAACTAATGTAAAAGACATTGGCGTGATAATGTCAGAGGATCTCACCTTCAAAGACCACAACATTGTATCAATCGCATCTGCTAGAAAAATGACAAAATGGATAATGAGAACCTTCAAAACTAGGGATGCCAAGCCCATGATAACACTCTTCAGGTCACTTGTTCTATCTAGGCTGGAATACTGCTGCACACTAACAGCACCTTTCAAGGCAGGTGAAATTGCTGACCTAGAAAATGTACAGAGAACCTTCATGGCACACATAACTGCGATAAAACACCTCAATTACTGGGAACGCTTGAAGTTCCTCAACCTGTACTCCCTATAATGCAGGCAGGAGAGATACATGATTATATACACTTGGAAAATCCTAGTGGGATTAGTACCAAACTTGCACACGAAAATCACTCCCTATGAAAGCAAAAGACTCGGCAGACGATGCAACATCCCCCCAATGAAAAGCAGGGGCAACACTAGCACGATAAGAGACAACACAATAAGTGTGAGAGTCCCAGCATACATAATAAGTGTGCCTCCCAGCATACATAAGGGGGATTACCAATAGGCCCCTGGGTGACTTCAAGAAGGCACTGGGCAGGCACCTAAAGTCAGTACCTGACCAGCCGGGCTGTGGTTCGTATGTCAGGTTGTGTGCGCCCAACAGTAACAGCCTGGTTGATCAGGCCCTGATCCACCATGAGACTTGGTCCCAGACCAAGCAGCAGGGGTGTTGACCCCCAAAACCCTCTCCAGGTAAAATAAATAATAATAATAATATTTTTATTTCTTGAGTCCTGGAAATGGGAAGTACAATGCCTGCACTTTAAAGGAGGGGTTTGGGATATTGGCAGTTTGGAGGGATATGTTGTGTATCTCTATACGTATATGCTTCTAAACTGTTGTATTCTGAGCACCTCTGCAAAAGCAGTGATAATGTGTGAGTGTGGTGAAAGTGTTGAATGATGATGAAAGTATTTTCTTTTTGGGGATTTTCTTTCTTTTTTTTTTGGGTCACCCTGCCTCGGTGGGAGACGACCGACTTGTTGAAAAAAAAAAAAAAAACGTGTACAAGGTATACAGGCCTAGCTGACATCAATGACATACTATTATATAGAAAGCTGCTTGTTATGCAGAGCATTTCAGACAAATTAGGTCAGCTTTTTCCCAGGAGGCAACCCTCACCAGTCAACCAACACTCAGGTACCCATTTTACTGATGCGTGAACATAGGCAACCGGTGTAAGGAAACGCGTCCAATGTTTCCACCCCTTCGCTGGGAATCAGACCTGGACCCACATCACATGAAGGGAGAGCTTTCACCACCAGGCCATGGGGCATCATAATAAATGTATAATAACCGTAATAGTAATAACCGTATAATCCATTTTTTGTTCATGTTGTTGCTCTTTTCTACTAGATTTCATTATTGCTATTCAGGCTATAACTATGGTGGCCTGAGGCCTGGTGGCAAAAACTCTCGCTTCACAAAGTGAGGGTCCGGGTTCGATTCCCAGCAAGGGTAGAAATTTTGGGTGTGCTTCCTTACACTGGTTGCCCATGTTTACCCATCAGTAATAATGGGTACCTGGGTGTTAACTGACTGGTGTGGGTTGCATCCCAGGACAAAAGTGACCTAATTTGCCTGAAATGCTCTGCATGAAAAGCGGTTTTCTATATAGTAGTATGTCATTGATGTCAGCTATGCCTGTATACCTTGTTCATGTACTTGTAGAAATGAAGATATTACATATTATATTATTATTACAACAAAATATTACTTAAATCAGGGAAGCAAAAAATATGTACTTTTAATTTCCTTCTTAAACACACCATCCCAAATACCTTCACCAACTTCTGCAACTTCTCTACTAAATCTCATCTGTCTCATCAGCAAAAAACAATGCAACAATTGTCATTCTGTACCACTCATTATCTTTTATTCCCACACCTCTCCCCAACATCTAGGCATTCACTTCTTTTGCAACCCCATCATGGTGGCATCAAACATCCCTGTTTAAGGCCTACTTTTATCATAAAATAATCATCTCTCCTACATATCCTAACCTGAGCCTCACTCAGAATAAAAACTCTTTACTGCTTTTAGTAACCTACTACCTATTCCATCCAGTGTGATTTTTGTATACTGAATCTTAACAATAAAACCTGTAGATGAGTTTGGTAACAATAGTGGACAATTACATCATGTAACACATTTACACTAAAACTGGAGAATGTAGATTCCTTATTTTTTTTTTTTAAGGATATACATATACTCTCCAATCCATCCTATCACCACTCTCCCCTATATCATTTATTCTTGTAAAATCTAAGTAAATATTGCAAGCATCTGTTTATTTACAATACAACACTGATGAACTTTAAAAATCATGCTGTAAACAATACTATTACACAAAATAAAATTAAAACTGTTGAAATATAAAAAAATGATGTTCAAGTTGAAGCAACTATGATGTATATGTCTAGTATTAAGTAGTCTGTTAAGCATTAGGTTTAGACTGCCCAAAATGCCCTGGCATGATAATGGCTTTCTTTGTACTTAGCAAATCAAAATTGTAATTACACATTGTAAACTATGCAAAGAAATAAAATCCTTAATCCTCAATAAACTTTTTAACTTACAGTCTGAGCCAATCTGAAGAAGAGGATGGCTTGCTGTAGGAGTGCAGTACGAGTGTCACAGGTTTCATGAAGAGCCGTGGCTGCTTCTAGAACTGAGTATGCTCTTGATCGTGCTTCCACTCCAGCATAGTGACCTCCAGAAGCCATATTTTCTGCAGTTTTCAGCAGCCTAATACATCTGTCTTGCTGTTCCTGAGGTGGAAATTATGAATTAACACTATAGAAGCATATTCTCTGAAGAGAATACAATAGAGTACTACACAACAGTTATCTATATGGTATATTCTACAAGAATTTCTTTAATAGTTGCATAACATAACTTACAGCATTTAAAAGGTTTCACAGCATTTATTTTCTTAAAATGAATAGGGCTTATGCTAGTCTACAACTAAGTGCACTATAATACAACAAACCTTTGCTGCAACTTCTCTCTTGATGTGATCATGGTAGAGAATCTCTGCATTGCTTTGTGACTCTCCTAGTCCCTGGTGTTGTGAAACTTCATCTCGCAGTTGCTTAAGAGCTGTCACAGCTTCTGTTAGATCCTGAGTAGGGAAAAAATTAATAATTCTCTAAATTAAAATCATCATTTAACCATTTCCAGTAATTCTCATCAGAACCAGCAGCGTGTACTTGTTGCTGTTATACGGCTCCTACACTAATGAACATTGTTTCTAACCAGTTCAGACCAAAATGATGAATTTGTGTATGAGACAAACTCTTAATACAGCATGCAGAGTAATAATGATATCACACAAGTGTGATCAGACTCTGACATAGGGTACATACCAAGAGGTGTGTATTTCACCGAGTGTATCAGGTGAGAGGTTAATTTCTATTTTATGAATCTAAGTGCTCTTGAGCATTAGTATACAGGTGAATTGGTCCATGTGAACATGACAAGCTGTAAACCTACAACTAATTAAGCTTATAGCTAACTGCACAGAGTTTGTAATCAGAATAATAACATGTACGCCCTGTATCTAATTTCCTAAACACATTTGTAAAAGAAACATTTCCAACTTAGTAAGACTTGAGAAATTCAAGACCAATTTCAGCATAGAATACATTATGTACTTCTTAATAAATATCAACTTCTGGGTCCTAGGTATGTAGATTAATAATACATATGCAAATGAGCTGTTACTAACCTGGTAAATATACAAGTGCAAGACACTTTTTCCAAAGTGTTTTCTGCAGAAAAAAGACCCCATCCGGAACCTTCGAGGGTCAGCAAGGATTCGGGGTAATGTTCAACTGTGAGCAGCGGAGGGAACAGGGAAATAGTAATTTAAACACAAAAGTCAAAACAATTAATAAAACATAAGAACATAAGAAGGAGGAAAACTGCGGGAGGCCTGCTGCCCATACTAGGGGGGGCCTTTACAATTATCCCACTAACAAAACATTTCCCCAACCCAATTTTCAATGCTACCCAAAAAATAAGCTCTGTGTAAAGTCCCATCAAATCCAAAACCCTTCCCACTCATGTTTTTTCCAACCCTAGATTTGAAACCCCCCAAAGCCCTAGCCTCAAAAACCCAACAGGTAGACTGTTCCACCATAAACCCTATTTCCAAACCAATACTTTCCTTTTCCCTTTCAAAATTAAATTTAAACTAATTTAAATCCATTACGCGGGTTCTCTCTTGGAGGACTCCCAGCCTTTTTAATATCCCCTTTATTAAAACATTTTCCCCTTATCACTTCGATCAGGTCCCCCCTCTTCTTGTCTAAAAAGTAAATGAAACTTAAGATCTTCATCTTTCTTATAAAAAGTTTTCTGAGCTAGTTTTAAATTTTAGCATCCACGCTGAATTTTTCTAACGAATTTATGTCCTTTTGAAACGGGCCCAGAATGAGTGCATTCAAGGTGGGCCTTACTAATATGATAAAGCGCAGTATACCTCGGACTTCTGTTGTTTTACCTTCTTGAATAAATCCCAGTAATCATTTCCCTTATTATACGTTTTAGGCATTGCGCCCTTGGGTTTTAAGGTTGCTGCCACCAAACCCCCAACCTTTTCAAAATCGTAGGGCTAAGTTTACATCATTTAATTTATAAGTACTGGGGTTATGGAACCCCAAGCTTTCAGAACCCTTTGAATTTTCTACTTTAAAAATGCATCTGCCATTTTCTGACCAAGAATAGATTGTTTAAATCCTCTGAAGTTCCCTAACATTACGTTTTGAATCAATTACCTACCTAATCTTATGTCATCGGCGAAAAAAAATTTTGTCATATCACTGTAATCCCTCATCAAGATCATGATATATATATAAACAACAACGGGCCCAAGCTGACTCCTTTGGAACGCCTGTTACAGATCCCCACTCGATGTGAACCCACCTTTATGGAACTTCTGCTTCATGTCAGTGAGTCAAGCTGTCCACAGATCTGTTCCCCAATGCCAATGATCAACTTTCTTTAAAAATATGTAACTCTATTCAGAATCTACTAAAACTAAGGTATACATGTTGCTTTACAAAACTTCTTGAATGTGGTCTAACCTCAAAGTTAACTGAAAAAGTTAATTTGTTAGGACAAACTTTAATCCGGCATCTGTAATCATGAGTATCATCAAATTTATAGCTCTGCATTATGCGACATGGCGTTTATTTCAGCATAATGGTTTAGTAATTTCCTATTTTAGTCAGCTAATTTGGGGCTCTTGAGCACTTGCCCCTTGTTTGAATTGGAGTGACATTACCAGCTGCACAATCAGACACTAATAACTTTTGAGATAACTGCAAAGCTATTAGTTAATGGTTCACACAGTATCACTGTCTTTCCCTTTAAGAACCCATTAAAAAATCATCAGGACCGGCGACTTATTTAAGCTTCTTGAATTCTAATCTGCCTCACAACATCTCACTATGACTGTGTTTTAATAATTAATCTTCTTCCTAGCCCATGTAAAATTAATTACTAATATGTATGCTTCCTGTTACAAACCGGGAAGAAAATAATTATAATCAGCACATTCATTTCATTGTCTTAAGGCAGCCCAAGGTTATCAGGGAACCTTACGTTATCTCAAGGATTCGTTATAGATCAATCTTGTTGGGTTGGTTTAGAACCCTAGAACTTATTAATTTCATACCATTTAACTTTTCTTATCCCATATGTTATTATTAACACCCTGATATACTGTTCTGAAAAAAAAAATCCAATAATATTATAAGAGTAATTCTGAATACAAAAAATATTAAAGTACATGCATGTTTTATTTTATGCTAAATATATTATTGAAATATTCATAGTACTTTACATGTCAGTACAGCATAGCTCACAACTAATCCAAAAATTGGAAATAAAAACTGGACAAATTTAGATACACCACACTGTGTGGCTGCCCTAAATATTTAACAAGGCTATGACAACTTCTAATGATACATTTACCCAATACACATCCATCTAGAAGGATGATTGCTTACACAACTGTTCTGATGCAATAGCCGCAGGTTTAACATAAATCCTTTCAGTGAATTTGTAGTTTTGTTTCGCACTGGCATCACATAAGGATTTAGAAATCTTGCCACCAAAGTGGCTAGTTTATTGTGCACCTCATATCCATCCTGTGGACGGTAGTACAAGAGCATATGGATACACAAAAGGCCTAGGAACTAGGCCCCAAAAGGGTTAACAGGTGTACATATGGGTTTATATATACATATCTACAGTTCACTTATCTGTTACAAGCAAATTTAGGAAATTTGCTTAGTATATTTGGTATCTTATTTTTATTAATAAGATATCTTGACATGTCACATAGGTTATTATACTGTCTGTCTCTGTATTCCTCAATAAGTGGACAGTTAATTTGCATTTAGTTTGATCATCATCTGTGTGTCTCCCAAATTGCCAGAAGTACTTGTAACCAAGCTTAAGCCTGACCACTACAACATCAGTCAGTCTGTTCACATTGCAAGTTGCTCCATAAACATACTTATCTACCTTCATGTTATAATAGTGGGTTATAGATCTACTCAGGTTTCTAACTGCATTCCTATAACAATCATTTTCGTTATTTACTTCTCTCCTAATATTATTCCTAATGCTAGACACAGATATACCAAAGTTATTATTATTATTATTATTATTATTATTATTATTATTATAATTATCACACTGGCCAATTCCCACCAAGGCAGGGTGGCCCGAAAAAGAAAAACTTTCACCATCATTCACTCCATCACTGTCTTGCCAGAAGGGTGCTTTACACTACAGTTTTTAAACTGCAACATTAACACCCCTCCTTCAGAGTGCAGGCACTGTACTTCCCGTCAGTTGAGTGGTCAGTGGTCAGTCGTCACATGAGGTCACAGACCCTGAGCTGCTTTGGGGATTAGCGTGGACGGTTACAAAGCATGGCTTGCTTCTGCAGTGTTTTAAAAATTGAGGTTGGAGAGTTGAAGGAGGAGGTCTTGCTTCTCCAGGAGGAGATTAGGAGGCTGAAGGTCCACCTCAATGGGTCGGGGAGAAGGTGAGGTAGCTGGAGTTGGGGGGGAATGAGGCTTCTAGCATGGGGCAGTCTGTCTCTCGCGTGAGGACTGTGTTGGGGAGGTAGCACGGTACCAGCAGGAGGTCAGCCACACCTGACAGTGGCGATGGTTCACGTAATGGGGGGCGCTTAGAAAAAAGGAAAGTTAAGAGTGAGATCTAAAGGGTGGGAAATCGTTTCTCTGTTCTTCGGAATTTGGATTCAGGGCCATGAAGGAAAGGGGGACTACTCCCCCTGTAATGGAGGTAAGGCATTCTTGGGGTTTGGGTGACTTCGGGTAAGATATATTGACCCGCTTTTTTTTAAAAGGAATAGAGATGAAGATAGAGTGTGTTCCCGGAGCTGGTGTTGGGGACCTTGTCAACAGCTGGTAATATCATGTCAGTAATGGGAACAAGCCCATTATCGTTCAGTGCTGGGGAAATGAATTGGGAAGGGTAGAGAGAAGAGCTGCTAGATAAGTAAGGTGCTATGATTTCATTAAGTCTAAGGGGGATCCCCTCATATGTAGCATCGCCTAAAGGGGGGTAGAAAAGAAGGTTGTTAGGGCAATTGGTGTAAAATTTTGGGTAGACAGATACGCAAGGAACTTCATCCCTTTTATTGACAACTGGAACAACTTTTAGGCAAAATGTATTAGCAAGGGATGGGGTACATTCTCTGGGGCAGGGGTGTAGCACTTGCAGACTCATTGAGAAGGGCCTTGGGAAATGCCTATGATTTTAAACTGATGGAAGATAGAGGTATGGGTGTGTGTGGGAAACATGCAGGTTGCAACACTAGGGTTAGAAACCGTAAATGTATAAAAGGCATTCAGCATGAAGTTATAAATAAAGACAATAGATCAGGTCAGCAAACAAAGGGGGACAGCAGAGGGCAGCAAGGGACTAGCTCCCTTAAGGTTTACTATACTAATAGCAGGAGTGTAAGAAATAAGATAGATGAGCTAAGATTAATTGCAAGTGCAGGAAACATAGATATTATTGCTATAACAGAGACCTGGCTCAATCTGAAAGATAGAGAGATGCCCTCTGAATGTCACATACAAGGCTATAAATTATTCCACACTGACAGGGTCAACAGGAAAGGTGGTGGAGTGGCAATGTATGTCAGAGACAATTTAAATTGTTGTGTTAGACAAGATATTAAATTAGAAGCGTCAGCCACTGAATCTGTTTGGTTACAGCTTCTCGAGGGCTGAGAAAAACTAATTTTGGGTGTGATTTACAGGGCCCCAAATCTTGATAGGGAGTGCAGTAAACTTCTATGGGACGAAATTCGTAAGGCATCTACATACGAAAATGTTGTGCTAATGGGAGATTTCAACTATAGACAGATTGACTGGAGCAATTTGACAGGAAATTTAGAGTCAGGTGACTTTCTTGATACGATCCAGGATTGTTTTTTAAAACAGTTTGTGACAGAGCCAACTAGGGGAAATAACCTCCTTGACTTGGTTCTTGCCAGTAGGGAAACACTAATTAATAATCTTGAGGTTAATGATGAGCTTGGGGAAAGTGATCACAAATCACTCAGTTTTAATATATCATGGAATTCCCCTAATAATGGCAATCAAGTCTCCGTCCCTGACTTTCGCTTGGCTGATTTCATAGGACTGAAAAATTACTTAGGTGGGCTGAACTGGAATGACCTGACTAAGGGTCAGGTAGGTGGTGATGGTTGCCTATATGATACTTTCCAGGGCATAGTTCTAGCTGCTCAGTCAAATTATGTTCCAAATAGGGAAATCAGATCAAACAAAAATGATCCTAAATGGATGAACAATAGATTAAAATATCTGATTGGTCAAAAGAGAGGCATATATAGGCAAATCAAAAGAGGAGAGGGGCAATTAAGAAATCGATATATTCAGTTAAAGAGAAATAAAAAAGGGAATTAGAAAAGCAAAAAGAGATTATGAGGTTAAAGTTGCAAGAGAATCGAAGACTAACCCAAAAGGATTCTTTCAGGTATACAGAAGTAAGATCAGGGACAAGATAGGCCCACTCAAAAGTTCCTCGGGTCAGCTCACTGACAGTGATAAGGAAATGTGTAGAATTTTTAACACATACTTCCTCTCAGTTTTAACACAGGAGGATACCAGCGATATTCCAGTAATGATAAATTATGTAGAACAGGACGATAATAAAACTGTGCACGATTAGGGTCACAAGTGACATGGTCCTTAGGCAAATAGATAAATTAAAACCTAACAAATCCCCAGCCCTGATGAACTGTATGCAAGGTTCTAAAGGAATGTAAAGAGGAGCTTAGCACACTTTTGGCTAATCTTTTCAACATATCACTACAAACTGGCATGGTGCCAGATAAGTGGAAAATGGCAAATGTGATACCTATTTTCAAAACAGGTGACAGGTCCTTAGCTTCGAACTATAGACCAATAAGCCTAACCTCCATAGTGGGAAAATTTATGGAATCAATAATTGCCGAGGCAGTTTGTAGCCACCTTGAAAAGCATAAATTAATCAACGAATCTCAGCATGGTTTTACAAAGGGGCGTTCCTGCCTTACGAATTTATTAACTTTTTTCACTAAGGTATTTGAGGAGGTAGATCATGGTAATGAATATGATATTGTGTATATGGACTTCAGTAAGGCTTTTGACAGGGTCCCACATCAGAGACTATTGAGGAAAATTAAAGCACATGGAATAGGAGGAGAAATTTTTTCCTGGATAGAGGCATGGTTGACAAATAGGCAGCAGAGAGTTTGCATAAATGGGGAGAAATCAGAGTGGGGAAGCGCCATGAGCGGTGTTCCACAGGGGTCAGTGTTGGGCCCCCTGCTGTTCACAATCTACATAAACGACATAGATGAGGGCATAAAGAGCGACATCGGCAAGTTTGCCGATGACACCAAAATAGGCCGTCGAATTCATTCTGACGAGGACATTCGAGCACTCCAGGAAGATTTGAATAGACTGATGCAGTGGTCGGAGAAGTGGCAGATGCAGTTTAATATAGACAAATGCAAAGTTCTAAATGTTGGACAGGACAATAACCATGCCACATATAAACTAAATAATGTAGATCTTAATATTATGGATTGCAAAAAAGATTTAGGAGTTCTGGTTAGCAGTAATCTGAAACCAAGACAACAGTGCATAAGTGTTCGCAATAAAGCTAATAGAATCCTTGGCTTCATATCAAGAAGCATAAATAATAGGAGTCCTCAGGTTGTTCTTCAACTCTATACATCATTGGTTAGGCCTCATTTAGATTATGCTGCACAGTTTTGGTCACCGTATTACAGAATGGATATAAATTCTCTGGAAAATGTACAAAGGAGGATGACAAAGTTGATCCCATGTATCAGAAACCTTCCCTATGAGGATAGACTAAGGGCCCTGAATCTGCACTCTCTAGAAAGACGTAGAATTAGGGGGGATATGATTGAGGTGTATAAATGAAAGACAGGAATAAATAAAGGGGATGTAAATAGTGTGCTGAAAATATCTAGCCTAGACAGGACTCGCAGCAATGGTTTTAAGTTGGAAAAATTCAGATTCAGGAAGGATATAGGAAAGTACTGGTTTGGTAATAGAGTTGTGGATGAGTGGAACAAACTCCCGAGTACAGTTATAGAGGCCAGAATGTTGTGTAGCTTTAAAAATAGGTTGGATAAATACATGAGTGGATGTGGGTGGGTGTGAGTTGGACCTGATAGCTTGTGCTACCAGGTCGGTTGCCGTGTTCCTCCCTTAAGTCAATGTGACCTGACCTGACTAGGTTGGGTGCATTGGCTTAAGCCGGTAGGAGACTTGGACCTGCCTCGCATGGGCCAGTAGGCCTTCTGCAGTGTTCCTTCGTTCTTATGTTCTTATGTTCTTATCTCCAGGACTCAAGTCCGGCCTGCCGGTTTCCCTGAACCCCTTCATAAATGTTACTTTGCTCACACTCCAACAGCAAAGTTATATTCTACATTCTTCTTCTGGGTACTCTTCTTGGCTAACATATCAACTTTATCATGAAGAAGTAATCCAATGTGTGATGGGATCCATAGCAATTGTACATTAATCATGTAAGGTATAAGGGAAAAAAAGAGAAAACCCAAAAGCCACATCATAACATTGGGAGGAAAGAGAACCAAGATAAGCTCATTTTGAAGATACGAGCAATTATGTACCTCTGTAATCTTTTGACTACCGCCCACAGGATGGGTATGGGGTGCATAATAAACATATTAAACTAAAAACTGATAATTCTGTACAGTACACGTGTGTGTGTGTGTGTGTGTGTGTGTGTGTGTGTGTGTGTGTGTGTGTGTGTGTGTGTGTGTGTGTGTGTGTGTGTGTGTGTGTGTGTGTGTTGTGTGTGTGTGTGTGTGTGTGTGTGTGTTGTGTGTGTGTGTGTCTCAACAATCAATATTTGCACCAATAACTCATTACAGTTGTGACCGGGTGTGGAAGTGTGAATTGATCATTACTCTATAATTTGTTCATGATTGTAGCCAAAGTAAAAACGTAAGTAACCATTCTACAGAATTCATTACCTTTGTAACTTGTGAGCTCATTACCTTTGTACCTAGTTCAGCTATCAAAACTTTGGGGGCCCAGTCCCTGGACCCATTACGTACCTCTGTAATCTGTAAATACCTTTGTAACTTGTCATGATTGTGACCAGACTTACCTGGAGTTCATTACCTTTGTAAATTGTGAGTTCATTACCTTTGTAAATTGTGAGTTCATTACCTTTGTAAATTGTGAGTTCATTACCTCTGTAATTTGCTCAGCTATCAAAACTTTGGAGTCCAGTCCCTGGACCAATTATGTACCTCTGTAATCTTTTGACTACCGCCCACAGGATGGGTATGGGGTGCATAATAAACATATTAAACTAAAAACTGATAATTCTGTACAGTACACGATGCTGGAAGAGACAAACATCTATACGTACATATCTAGGGCTTAGATTTAGTTATAAGATGTGTAAATTGGCTGGAAATTGCATAGATAATTCTGGAGGAGGACCAACTTATGGGATGGCTATGGTCCCTAACAAGACAAAGCCATTTGTTAGTATTAGCAAGGTGATCACTTATTTTGCGTTTTTTTTTTCCAGCCACTGGAAAGTGAGTGGTCAGTTTCACAAATGTACTAGGGAGGGTAAGAGATGCAGCTGATGTAGGTAACAGCTCTTAGCTTGCCAATAAAGCTAGGGATCCTTAACCTTGTGAAACCCTGTGCAAAAAGAAAGAGAGAGAGAGAGAGAAGAGAGAGAGAGAGAGAAAAGAGAGAGAGAGGGGAGGAGAGAAAGGGAAAAGAGTAGAAGAAAAGTAGAAAGAACGACATACGAGAGAGAGAAAAGGATAGAGAGCAAAGAGATGAGAGAGAGAGAGAGAAAGAGAGAAGAGTAATAGAGCAGAGAGAGAGAGAATTACAAAACTAATACCTTACCTACCTTTGAGGAATATAAGGAAGCCAAGACCAAATTACCATTATGAAAAGCAAGGGTTTAAGGGGAAAACAGTTTTTCAAGTTGGCAAGAGTACACAGTTTTTGGAAATGGGTTAAAGATAAGCAAGAAGAAAGGAAGAAGAGGGAATGAACTGCGGCAAATGGAAAAAAAATCAGTCTAGAAACTGAGGATCGTAGATGTGAAGCGCAAGGACAGAGGAACAAAAAAAAAAAAACACTTCTCTTAAATTGTGTCGAGTAGAAGGCTTTACATGCCGCTGTGCATACGGTAGACTTGCACTAGTGAGAAAAAGTAAACCCAGTGGCTGATCAGTGGACGAGAACATCAAGGAAAGGAAGTAGAGATAGATTCCCATCCAGTTTAAAACTTTTATCATTATTATACAATACATTCCTTAAATCTGTTGAGAGAGGGGGAAAGATTCTACACAAGACGGGCAACTGCACTCTGGCTGTACCTTTCTCCTGAACATAGTTTCAATGGAGATCATTTATTCCTAGGATGACTCGTGTCTAGAACATGTTCGTACAGCATAACATCAGGGATATAAAGTCAATTAACCAAATGAAATCGTTGGCCCACAGAGGGCTCCAACTTCATCTTGTTCTCTATATGTATATCTCTTCAACAATAAAAAAAACTTGCAAATGAGCTGATGTAGGTAACAGCTCTTAGCTTGTAAATAATGTTAGGAACCTTAAACCTAACCTTGTAAAACCCTGTGTAAAGAGAGAGAGAACTGGATGGTTCATTATTTTCTAAATTCTGTTACCTACTGATTTAAGAGCCAACCAAATTTTAATTAAATACAAATAAATAATTAGAGAGAACTCACCGAACTCTATGTTAGTCTTTATATGAAGGGGTCTGGAGTCGAGCGTGGCACCCTCAGAAGACAAGCCTCTAAGACGTGCCAATAGCGCCTGTGCCTCTTGCAGGGTGTACATGGAGGCCTCGAGAACTGCTCGTTTGTGATCGTGTAATGATGACAGCAGCTGCCTGGCTCCCTCGGCATCGTTGGGCATCACATTGTCGGTGTAAGCTCGTTCAGCAGCGTCCATGCTATCACTGTACTGCTGTGCTCTCCTGCGGGACAGACTCTCTTATTACTAGCCCCTCAAGGGAGGTTCCTTGATGCTGGTGCGGGGCTCCTGATCTAGGGATTTGGATCCGTGCCCCAGTTCCCTGAATGGAGCCTGAAAGCCTTCCATCCCTCCCAACAGGCGCTGTATAATCCCTACGGGTTTAGTGCTCCCATAATAATGATAATAATAATAATAATAATAATAATAATAATAATAAATAATAACAATCCCATTACAAACTTATTACAAGGACCCCAATGGAAATAAAGTCACTTCGACTGAGTTAGCTTATCCTAGGTAATTTACACGTACGTTACATAAGGGGGATTACCAACAGACCTCTGATTGTCTTCAAGAAGGTACTGGACAGGCACCTAAAGTCAGTTACTAACTAGCCGGGATGTGGTTCGTACGTCGGCTTGCGTGCGGCCAGCAGTAGCAGCCTGGTCGATCAGGCCCTGATCCACTGCGAGGCCTGGTCACGGACCGGGCTGCGGGGGTGTTGACCCCCGAAACCCCCTCCATGCATACTCCAGGTATGTTTGATAATTTGTGTAAATGTATTCATGTGTACCTGTACCTAAATATACTTAATATGGACATCCGGTCTTTTTGAGAAGTCACACTTTTATTTTATATATATATATATATATATATATATATATATATATATATATATATATATATATATATATATATATATATATATATATATATATATATATATAAATACAAGTATGCTATCTATAGTACGGCACAAATTGCTATTTCTTGTGTTTTTTTTTATTTGGGGGATGTTAGATAGATTAATAGTTAAAGAAAAAAGAGTACAACACCGCGACTGGAACACAAAACAAAAATGACCTGCATATGGGAGATACTTATGACTACGTTTAGGACCGACTTGGACCATTAATAAGGTCATGGAGAATCTACAGTTAGCACTGACGTTCCTGGTCAATCACAGCAACCGTATACAAAAAAGTCGCAACTCTGTAGCTGGAACAAATCACAGATAACCTGCACCGGGCTGTGGTTCGTATGTCAGCTTGCGTGCGGCCAGCAGTAACAGACTGGTTGATCAGGCTGATCCACCATGAGGCCTGGTCTTAGACCGGGCCGCGGGGGCGTTGACCCCCGAAACCCTCTCCATGTAAACTCCAGGTAAACAGAAGAGAACACTTATAATGAAGTTTTGGCCCCGTAGCCTGGTGGCTAAAGCTCTCGCTTTACACGGCGAGGGCCAGGGTTCGATTCCCAGCGAGGGTAAAAAACACTGGGCGTGTTTCTTTACACTGGTTGTCTATGTTCACTTATCAGTAAAATAGGTACCTGGGAGTTAGTCGACTGGTGTGGGTCGCATCCTGGGACAAAACTGACATAATTTGCCCGAAATGCTCTGCATAACAAGTGGCTTTCTATATAGTAGTATGTCACTGATGTCAGCTAGGCCTGTATACCTTGTACATGTATTTGTAGTACATAAAGATATTATATTATTACTATTATTATTATTATTATCCTGGATCGTTGGCTAAGGTAGGTGTCTGTGAGATGGAGGGGGTGGAAGGTGGTGTGTGTGGGAGGTGGTGTGTGTGGGAGGTGGTGTGTGTGGGAGGTGGTGTGTGTGGGAGGTGGTGTGTGGTGGGAGGTGGTGGTGTGGGAGTGGTGGTGTGTGTGGGAGGATGGTGCATGTATGGGAAGTGGGGTGGGGGGTGGGGTGTGTGGGAGATGGATGTGTGGGAGGTGGTGTGTGGGAGGTGGGGTGTGTGGGAGGTGGTGTGTGGAGATGATGTGTGGGAGGTGGTGTTTGCGAGGTGGTGTGTGTGTGTGGGAGGTGGTGTGTGTGGGGGGGGAAGTGGAGTGTGGGAGGTGGGTGTGGGAGATGGTGTGTGGGAGGTGGTGTGTGTGTGGGAGGTGGAGAGTGTGGGAGGTGGTGTGTGTGTGTGTGTGTGTGGGAGGTGGAGTATGTGGGAGGTGGAGAATGTGAAAGATGATGTATGGGAGGCAGTGTGTGGGAAGTGGAAGGTACTGTGTGAGAGGAAGTGTGTGAGAGGTAGGGAGTGCGGGAGGTGGTAAGGGGGAGATGGGTTGAGATAATGGAGGTAATAAAATGGAGGGGTCGCGCCCCCCTTCGGAACCTGCGAGACTACCTGCTCAATAAGGTAGTGGTGATAGCCGACCTAGACAGGAAGAGAGTGGCTTAACAGGAGGAGGTCGGCTTAAGACGAAGAGGAGGAGTGGACGGGGTAGAGGTGCGCTGGTAGTGAACGTGAATTAAAAAACTAAAAAAGTAGAACTGCAGATGAGTAAATACCATAAGAAATGACAGTAAACTCCAAGCAAGCAGTGTTGCAGTCTTTTTTTGTGTGTGTACACAAATCAATTTCTATCCTACCTCAGCATTCCCAGCCCGTTTTATCTAAGGTATACCACCACCCCAGGATGCGACCCACCGGGTACCTATGCTAACATCAAGGTACCTACTTGCTGCTAGGTGAACAGGGACAGCAGGTGTAAGGAAACACGCCAAGTGTTTCCACCCGTACCGAGGATCGAACCATGGACACTCAGTGGGCGAGCTGAGTGAGCTACCAACCAAGCTACGGACGCCTTGGCTCACTTTCTGAACATAAAACCGTTACATCATAAAAATACTCTAACTGTGGTGCTGGTAATGGACTGAGCAGGTGATGAATAACAAGTATTTTACTAGAGAGCAATAAACCATGAAGTAGCAACGCTGGCTTCAGGTGCAGAGAGTTCGTTAAGACATAAGCTACCAATAAAATGTACAAAGGGGCTAATGAGAGATACAGTTCCTCATGGTGTAAATCAGAGGGAGAGTTCATGGTGTAAATCACAGGGAGTGTTCATGGTGTAAATCACAGGGAGTGTTCATGGTGTAAATCACAAGAAGTGTTCATGGTGTAAATCACAGGGAGTGTTCATGGTGTAAATCACAGGGAGTGTTCATGGTGTAAATCACAAGAAGTGTTCATGGTGTAAATCACCGGGAGTGTTCATAGTGTAAATCACCGGGAGTGTTCATAGTGTAAATCACCGGGAGTGTTCATAGTGTAAATTACCGGGAGTGTTCATGGTATAAATCAGAGGGAGTGTTCATGGTATAAATCAGAGGGAGTGTTCATGGTGTAAATCACCGGAAGTGTTCATGGTATAAATCAGAGGGAGTGTTCATGGTGTAAATCACCGGGAGTGTTCATGGTATAAATCAGAGGGAGTGTTCATGGTATAAATCAGAGGGAGTGTTCATGGTGTAAATTACCGGGAGTGTTCATGGTGTAAATCACCGGGAGTGTTCATGGTATAAATCAGAGGGAGTGTTCATGGTGTAAATCACCGGGAGTATTCATGGTATAAATCACTGAGTGTTCATGGTATAAATCACTAAGTGTTCATGATGTAAATCACCTGGAGCGTTCATGGTATAAATCACTGGGTGTTCATGGTGTAAATCACCGGGAGTGAATGAACCTCAGTGTAGCAAGAACTGGCTTAGCAAGAGAGGGTATTGCACCTGCAGGAACATTTCACTCTGCAGAGTGATATCCCACCCATAATAATGTAAATAACTGAAACCCGTAAAAAAATATATATACATATTTTTTTTACAAAACCTTGCATGTTAAGTAACACTTCGGGCACCAGGTCTACTAACCGATTTATCCGATCAGACCATCCTGGGAACGGGTCGACACCTTGTCCACCAGTTATCTTAGCCACCGACAGAACAAGGCGCGTCAACTAGGATTCTGCTTGCATAGCTACACTTCCATACTCATGACACTAGCTGTAGTCGCATCTGTGGCCACTATTAAACCTCACGCTGACAGTGGCGTAGACACATGTGCAACACTTATAACATTTATTAAGAAAATATTTCGCCCACTAGGGGCTCTGTCAATCCTAGGATTGTACCTAATATGAAGTTTCCTTAACGAATGTCGTTAGTGTCGCGCATGCGGCTTTACCTCATTAGGTTAGGTAAGACTCGTCAGGAAACAGGACAAGTGGGTGGCCCGGTGGCCTGGTGGCTAAAGCTCCCGCTTCACACACGGAGGGCTCGGGTTCGATTCCCGGCGGGTGGAACCATTTCGACACGTTTCCTTACACCTGTTGTCCTGGTGTGGGTCGCATCCTGGGGGGACAAGATTAAGGACCCCAATAGAAATAAGTTAGACAGTCCTCGATGACGCACTGACTTTCTTGGGTTATCCTGGGTGGCTAACCCTCCGGGGTTAAAAATCTTATCTTATCTTATCTTAAGTGTTTCCTGACGCTGGTCTTAGTCACATGATGACCTACCACTGGAGCTTTTGGTCATCCGACCGAGGTCTTCCGCTGGCTTACCGGTCCATTCCTTAAAAAAATAAGGTTATAATTTTTACCCCTTAGCCTGTCAATATTGATATACCTCGTACTTGTACTTACGTTCACAGATATGAGTACAAGTAAGAGGAAATCCCGTAAGAGAAAATATTTAGTTATAACATGAGAAAGTGGGAATGCGCGACCTCAAACAAAGAGGTCCCTAACGAGGAAACAGAACGAACTGCATTATAAGAAAATCAAGGGTCAGCAAATCGCATCTACCACGCAGACAGCAGGAGAGATCACGACGGCGAGGCCATGACCCGGTCAACAACCCCACAAGCATCCACCTCATCCACCACATGACAGAGGTAGAAGGTGTGAGATTTGAAGAGCGCTTAGACCTTAAAAACAGGCCAGGGCTCTTAATAATAAAAAATATAAAGCACATGAAAACAGCCAAGGTAAAACTGAGTAACAAAAATACAAACCAGAAAGACATACAACACAAATAATATCACACAACGTCAGGTAACTAGCACTAGTTAAAAATACAATTAAACTGTTAATGTTAAAAGATTCTCCTGGAGGTTTCCAGTGGTTTCTATGGGTACAACAGTAATTATAAAAACCACGACGCAGGTGAAAAAACTGAAGCCGTGAGCA